CCCCAAAACCCCAAAACCCCAAAACCCCACAAAGTAGAAATTCAAAGTTCGATGAAGACTTAAATAAATAAATTTTCATAATTAAATTACTTAAGCTTTGATAAATCAAATATGGATCTGTTCCCAACTCAAACTGTAGTTAAATTTTCAATGTTCAATAATAATTCCACCAAGAGTGCCGTGGATATTAAGAATAAATTCAAAAACATTCCAAATCTCTAAACTCGTGGCTAGACTTTTGATGTCAGACATCTGGATCAGTTTATTCAATTTGATAATTCAAGAACTCAGCACTAACAGTTATAGGGAGCTAATCATTCACAAAATGGATTATAGATTACAAACTTTGGAGCTATGGGAAATAATGATTAACAAGCATCTTCTCCCGTGAAGCAAGAAAGTACGATAGAAAGTGGCAGAATGTCACTCTAGAGAAGAGCTTAAACTGCAGGTAATCTAGGATTAATCACCCCTGCTCAAATGATGCAAAATAAAAGATAGAGTAAGTTAAGTAGCATTCCTGTTGTGTATACCAACGTTCGCCCAAGTACTTCCTTTATCTCAGTTCCTAGAGAGAACGTATCTTAAATTAAATATATTGATGAGTAAAAGGGAGGACCATCATTCCTTTTGAAAAGAGATGGAGTACCTACACTTAAATCTCTTGAGAATGATGGCTCTGTGCAATTGCATTACAATACTGAGAGAAAGAATTTTAAAGCTCTTAACAATGACTAAAAGATTTTTAATGCCAAGATCGTTCAGTTTCAAGGCAAACAGGATGAGCATGGGGAAATTTTAATACCGAATGCCGATCTTAAATACCCCAGCCAAAGAAGATAGGAGATATATGAAGCTAAAGAGGCATTTAAAAATTACTAGGAAATCAAATCACAGAAAATATTTATTAAAAAGAGAAACAGACTAATACAGAATGGATGGAGAAATGGGATTGTTGGTGTTGAAGTACCAGGTGATTAGGGATCTCTGTTCTATTCACAAAAAATATTGAGATAATAGGAAAGAAGCATGCAAAGGCTTGAGAAGAGAAATGAATGTAATCAATTATTAAATTTATGAATATAGATCTCAAAGAGAAAGCTGGTCAAAGTTGCTAGATTGATTTCTACAATAACGATAAAATAATCAGAAATGATAGCCAAACAGTATAGATGTTTCACGGCTGGAAGAGCAAGCAAATAAGCAATATTAGATTTAAAAACACCTAGGAAAGTCTGTTCGGAGACATTAGAAATAAATGGAACAATCAAAGAGCCTAAAAGCTAGTGTATGTTTTTTAATCTAACATTTATAGTTAAGAGGAGACTAAAGGGAGACCCTTTAACCCTATTTCAGGTATTAATCACTATCTCATAAGTTGATAATGATTCAGCTATATTTAATCAAAGCAAAGAACTTTTAATTTTTATCATTACTCTCATTCATTCTTATTTGCTTTTAACTTTTATTAATAAATTTAAACCAAGTAGCATTGTTACATTGATTGATGGGGTTTTGGGGTTTTGGGGTTTTGGGGGATCCTTGACACATATCACCATAT